GCCAGAACCCGAAGCAACAGCTAGACCAGGAGAAGAGGAACAGGTACCCCCACCTCGACCAGTCCTGCTGAAAGGCATCCACTGTGAATGCCTCGCAGGCAGGTAAGGGCGCCACATAGAATCGGCGACGCCTAGACCACGCCGACTCAAAGACGTCCATGGCCAGGAGTCCATACGTCTGGCAGAGCCAATGGAACGAATAGGCAACGACTGGCCAATTCGCTAACAGAGGAATGAACCGAAACAGGCTGTCTGCCAGGACGCAGGACACACCCCGGACACAAACCTCACGGTTAGCCAAACCCGAGAATCCAGCAAACGAGCCACTCGAAGGAACCAACCCCAAAGGCAAACACCTAAGAGAAACCCTGTGGTTCCCGCAAAGAACCGCCAGAGAACAGTCCGAATGGAGCTGAATGGTAGAGCACAGAGTGACCCGAACCCTCCGAAGCCCAAACCAGACAGTCACAAACTCCCGAACCGTGCTGTGAGCCTGACAGACGGACAGACCCCACCATCCCCGGCCAACCTGGTGAGCACTGGTCACAAAGCCCCAGCCGAGAGATGACCCGTCCATGAACACGTCGAGCGAAGGCTCAGGGAGGAGCCAAGGCACGGAACCCCGAAAACTCCAAAGAGGAAGCTGGTGATGCAGCACCAACACAAGATCCCCGGAGGAATGAACCCAACGATTGCAAGAGAGGCGGAAGGGGAGTCTCCGAAGGAACCAAACAGACGCCGAAGCCAAACCCGACCCTGCGGGCAGACCAGCACATCAAAGTTCAGACTCCTTCACAACTGCTCGAGCAGCCGCCGAGCAACCCGGGACCCCCCTCATGAACAGCCGAAGGCGGGACCACAGCCGCACCAACACTTCTGGAGGGAAGGACAAGGAGCGGCCCAAGAGCCATAAATTAGACCCAGCCAGGTCCAAACCCGGGACGGAAACAGATGGAACGGCCTCCAGACCACCAGGAAACTAACCTCGGCGATCTGGAGAGAACCACACACCTGGCAAGCAGACAAGCAGACCGACTAGGAGCCCACACCAGCCAGTCGTCGAGGTAGGCCAGACACCGAATCCCAAGCAGACTCAGGGCACCAAGATCCGGTAAAGATGCGTAAATACACCAAGTGCCAATTACAAACTAGGGAAGGTAACAAAAGCGGCAAGCCTGAAGCCCCACCACCAACTGTGCCAGTCCCGGAAAACTGGGGAAGAACGTGCCAAGAATTGACCTGGAGGTCCAGGGCCACCATCCAGGCACCCAGCCCCAACATAACTAGATTTAAACTAGTCCTCCAATGAGGGCATAGAATCCAGGGCGCTGACTGGAGAAGTCCAGATTCGCCAGGCCCGTGTCTGCATAGAGCAGACGGGAACCCCAGAAGGATGGGGCGGATCAACCACGTCCAACGCACCCACTAAGAAGACATGACGAAGAGCAGGGGAAGAAGCCCATCCCGCCAGCCCTGAACCCCCCAAAGGGGAAGAAGCTGTCCACCGCCGCCACCAGAGGCTGGAAGACAACCAAAAGCGCCCACTAACTGCGGGACCATGCGAGAGTCAACAGAGCAAGCTGCTCCCCCAGTGCCCCGTCAACAGTGAAGGGAACAGAGCCCCTTCCGAAAGAAAAAGTATACATACATATATACATATATATTATGTACATAAATATATACATACATACACATACACACAAAGGTGTATTACACATACGTGCGTATGCACACACACATGTGCGACCTGGAACTTTAAGAACAAGAGGTCATAGATTTAAACTAGCTAAACACAGATGCCGAAGAAATATAAGAAAATTCACTTTCGCAGAGTGGTAGACGGTTGGAACACGTTAGGTGAGAAGGTGGTGGAGGACACGTGAAAAGAAAATTGCAAGCCGCCGACCAGTGGGCAGAGATCCTGTGTATCGAATTTACTCAGTTTCTATGATCGAGCCACAGAGATATTACAGGAAAGAGATGGTTGGGTTGACTGCATCTATCTGGACCAAGAGGTCATAGATTTAAACTAGCTAAACACAGATGCCGAAGAAATATAAGAAAATTCACCTTCGCAAATAGAGTGGTAGACGGTTGGAACAAGTTAAGTGAGAAGGTGGTGGAGGCCAAGACCATCAGTAGTTTCAAAGCGTTATATGACAAAGAGTGCTGGGAAGACGGGACACCACGAGCGTAGCTCTCATCCTGTAACTACACTTAGGTAATTACACACACACACACACAGTGTACACATATACACACGTTATATGACAAAGAGTGCTGGGAAGACGGGACACCACGAGCGTAGCTCTCATCCTGTAACTACACTTAGGTAATTACATACACGTGAAAAGAAAATTGCAAGCCGCCGACCAGTGGGCAGAGAGCACCTCGCCAGCCAGGCCAAGAAGGCACAAAACTGTATCAAAAGGCCCACCTCGACAACAAAACCCCAAAGTCCCAGCACGACCACAACATGTGCCAAGACCCAAAAAGATCAGTCTGCAAGCCAGGTAGGCCCCGGAACCCCAGAAGCAGAAGCGGGTCACACACGAGGAAAAGCCCCCAGAATCCACAAAGGGGGCCCAAGAGGAAGAAACCTCCGGAACGAAACCAAAGAACCCAAAGGAACCCAGAATCGATCCAGGGGGAGCCCAAACCACCACATTTGCCGGCGGAGATATACCACAGAAAGGCAAAGCACAGCCCCCAGGGAAACGGTCAAAACAGACCAAGGGACTAGGTGTGGGAGCAAGCATAACAGACACAAAGGAAAACCCGGTGTAAAATCAACACTCAAACGTTTCCAGAGGAACAGAAAACAGGCAGAAAACACCAGAAAAGCAAAGAAACAACAACAGGAGAATAAAACCCCTACTCGCTCGCATATCCAGGTGTATGTAAACAAACCGCAATGCCACCCTGGTGGCCACGCCGGGAAACTGGCAGAAGATAATGGCCACCAGAACAGCAGGGGCTGTGACCGACGCAAAAGATACGAAAACACGCCAGCAAAAGTGGGAAGCAAGTAGACTGGATGGGTGAAAAACTCTGCCCAGAAGCAGAAAACCCCGGCAGGGTCAAACAGCCCCAGAACTGCTAGCAGGCATCCCCCACAGCCCCCGGAACCCGCAACAGAGGCCCCGGGACACAGCCGTCCTCCAAGCCCTCCGCCCTTAAAGAAAAGGAAGAGTCCATGGGAAAGGCAGCAAGAAAGGGCCGCTAGTAAGACCCAGAAGCCTTGGCTCGAAAACCTCCATTCCCAACCCGAACAGGGCAGCCTCCGAAACTGCCCGAATCTCGGCCCCAACTAAACCCCGCCCCGACCCCGAAACCTGCAGATGGTGAGGAGCCGGGAACAGGGAGGGAAAGGGCACCTAGCCAAAACGGGGCTACCCCGGGGCATCCGAGTGGGAAACCAACCTAGCGTGTTGCAGCAACCTAACCTAGCTTGCAACACGGATGCCGCCTGTACTCTGAACAGTAATAACATCAGGAGAGTACTGGAGAACAAGCAGAGATTATCTCTCGCAAGACTCCGGGTCAAGGTGTTAGTGACTCAACAGGCAGCATGACAGAGGTAAAAGTGGCGACTGTCACCCAGAGGCAAGGGCACAGCAACCAACGATCCCGTACAAGACGGGTTGGAACCCGGAAGACACACTCAATGGTCCACCGAGCCCCGACAGGGGTTTCCAGGGCCCGTAGGGTAACAACTACGGGAAGCCCGAGCAAGGTGTTGCTAACCGGTTAAGAAACCCAAAACTAACAAGAGGGTAGAGGACAACACTGAAAATCCCTGCGACATGTACAATGACAGAGGCTTAGCAGAGGGCCACCAAACACTACAAGTGGATCTATAGCCACACTGGGCAGACCCTCACCAGGCAAATGAAAATAAAAACTAAAGAAAACCCCGCAAAAGTACACCGTCTCCAGAGGCAACAGGAACCGGTTGCCGCTTAGGTGGTAGGTTGCACAACACCTTGACGCCCTAACCAGCACAATACCAGTCCCATCCCAGGGCCAAACAAAGGCCCCAAGCTCCAGCTGACCCCAAGAGCGAGGCAAATGCCGAGCAGCAAGAACCTCTACGAGAAGGGTTCCCGAACGCCCCAGGGAAGATAACCATTTACAGGGGCAGTACTCACAGTGCGCTTAGGTTAGGAAGCCCCTAAGTGCATGCAGCCCTGATACTGATGAACACCTGGCCACCGCACAACACACGGCAATGAACGCCACACAAGGCAAGCACCGCCTAGGAAACTGAGGCCAGAGAAGCGTCTATCCCGGTTGACATTAGCTTACGAACTGATGCTAGGCAACCGGCGCAGTGAGGTCCGGGGCTCCCCTCCCCCCTCTCGGGGCGGGGAGGGCTGCGCGGACAATCAGCGCGGCAGTAAAGTGTGATGTTTGCTTGTTTCCTTGGGATTGTAGGGAATTTCTACCTCTGTGTTCGGGTTTTTTGTTTTAGATTTTTATCATGTGGGGTTTGTTTTGTTATGCCTACCTTTCTGGGTGCAAACCCCGGTCGATGGCAAATAAGAAAAACCCTAACCACAAGGGGGTTCTCCAGGTACATTGTTCCCTGAAACCTCTCTGAATGGGCCAGGTTCTGGTGCTGGTCCCTGGTAGGTCTGAACTCCTTAGCTAATGTCCCAATCTAATATAACATACATTACCCCGATAAGCTCCAGGAAGCCGTAGGGGCTCCCCCACAGAAATGTTAACATTGTGATGATTACCATGCAACCACCTCTGATCTGAATAAACACTAATTTGCTAAAATAATAAGGCAGTAATTGCTACAAAGCTTTAGAGAGACCAATTACTGAACGTATATAGAATATAAATAGTGGAATAATGATTCAGAAATTGAGAACTGGTTATCTTCAGCCAATGAATGAGAAAAATATGAGTACAATAATTTTGCCAAAAAGAGTCAGTGCAAACAGATTGAGTCACATTTAAGATTATATAAATGTTTAAATAATAATCACCTGAGGAAAGTACTCTGCACATAAGCTAAGGAACTTGTCAGCATCAACTGGTACTGTGCTGCTCTCCACTGGCCCCTTCAATATGTCTGCATTTAACCACAATGGAAAATTTATCTGAAAATATGATATATACAATGATTACATCACAACAACAAATCTTCATTCTATCACCATTCGACATAATTATGAAATAAAAATATGCAGGGTTTAAAACAGAAATTGTAATTTTCTTAGATAAGCTCTAAGACCAAGGTTTTCTTTAATATCAAATTCAAGGGAATATTCAAGTTTTTAAGAATTTCGTATTTCAAATGCTTGTGAATAATAGTGTTTTAAACTAACCTAACCAACCTTAACCTAACCGTGTGTCAAGCACTATATCAAGCACGACTACCCCAGGCTCCATGATCTGGCTACACTCCTGCTGCTTCCTGGTGGTTCTATGCCTGAACCATGTGGTCTCTCTTTGGTCCTACCCCATGGTACCAAATGCTATGGTTGGCTCGTCTTCTGGAGTCTCAATGTGGTCCACGTTCAGGGCCTGTCCAACATTCTAGTGGCCTGTTTGTGTTGGTTTCGTCCCATTTTCACAAAGGGGATCATCGATTTTATGTCTTTCCAGTGGCTCTACGAGATGTTCAGTCTCTCCAAGATGGATATCTTCGCGTCGATGTGGCACTGGCATCTTCTTTCCTAACGAGCTCCATTTTTCAATTGCAAGGCTCTCGTGGTAGATGCTTTTGACTGGACTGGTCAAGGTAGGGAGGGGTGTATTTACCTCTTTCACATGGTTCAGTTCTTAATCCAGATTCTTTCTAGACTGGAGTTATTCTCGGAGAGGGTGTTCCTTCTGATTCCTTCAAGACCAGCTCAGCCTTGTTTTCTGACTCTTCTGGCCTGGTATCTATACCAAGGCAGTCCTTTAACTGCGTGACCTATAAATATGACACCCCCCAGTGCGCAGGAAATAAATTCTCTTGAAAAAAAAAATCTTTTATTTTTTTAAAGTGTCAAAAACCCTTTCTCCAGTATGGGTATGTCAAAAAAATTTTGAACTTGTACTTACTTTGGCTGCTATGGGGTCCGTAAGTTGGCGCGTGACGTCATCATTCCCCGTTCGCCCGTGCCGTAAGCTCCCGGGGCGGGGCGCGCGAGATGCCGCGAATATATTTTTGTTTATTTTTTGCGCACAGTTCCAAATACATTTTGTTTGTTTTTATGTGCTTATCCTATGTATAATGAACACGCACACAATATTATGGCAGTAAAACATCCGTACTGTCCGAGGACACAGTTACGTGCATGACACTTGTGTACACATATGTTGCACATATTTACAATGTATCATGCTAATTTATGTATATATACAATCTATTTACACACTATACACTGTCACACACTATATACATTCACCATCAACACATTCAGAACACCGCCAGTGTGAGCTGTCACACCCAGCCAGTCTCCCTCACTCCTCCAACATTGTATTCACCAACATTACTCCTCCAAAACATACAGTTATTCACACCAATGTTTCATGTTAATTTATGTATATTTACAACATACGTACACACACTATACACTGTCACACACTATATACATTCACCATCAACACACTCAGAACACCGTGAGTGTGAGCAGCCACACCCAGCCAGCCCTCCCTCACTCCAACATCTTACTCGCCAACATTGTTCCTCCCACCATACTGTTATTGTATTTATTACACTATTTACACATGTTATATATACCTATCTACATGTTTTATTTACCAGAACTATGCAAGTAAGCCGGTATTGTGTCCAAACAGTACAGTGGCCACCATACACTGCATAACAAATCACACGGCAGACAGCAGACGACGCCACATTTACGACATCACCTCCCTCACCAAAATAGCTCCTCACAACATACTCCTGGTGCTGTTATTACACTATATACACACTGTATATACCCATGTACATGTGTGGTCCCCATAGCGAACCACGAAGCTAGTATGGTGAGCAAAACAAGAGTTACTGCCACACAGTGAGGTTACCTCAATTCTCTCCCTTCCTCCCTCCCTCACCAAAATTCCTCCTTCCTACGCACAACGCTAATTATAACCACAATCCTGGTCACTAATACCTGTAAATAAATAATTGATCACAAGTTTATTTTGAAAAGGAACCTAAAAAGTCGTTTGAAGATTCCTAGATGGACGAAATAATGCTGTGGTGCTGTGGCTAGCTCTGTGAACATCGTGAACAGCATTGAATCACTGATATTTGAACATTGTAACCAGTCATTATCACACTCGGGCTCTTCTATAATACTATCATGGCTAAATAAAACAGATTATATATATATTTTGACAATATTAGGCGATGCTGTGGTCACACGCTGGACAGCAGTGCTGTGCGCTCATGCTGCGAGCGCCAGCCTTGGTTGCTCACTCACTACTGAGGCTCTGACACCCGGCAATGTGGACCATGATTTTTTTAAATATGGTGTCTGTTTACAAGAGCCCTGAGGAAGTTGATGTGAACCCCATGTAGCTGCGAGAGTTTTGAATGGAACGTAAAAAATTAAAACACCCAGAGAGGTGCATTGCGCACCTGAAGCCTGGCCTGCAGGCGCGTTGCACAGTTAAAGGGTTAACCTCTGTCATGCTTATGCTACCCCAGAGCTGTCTTGGTCTCTGAACAGTCAAAATTTTCTCTATGTTCATGTCTGCCTGTTTGGTCCAGGATACCTTTTTAAGGCCAGTGTTTTTGCTGGCTCTTGCCTCCATTTGTCTGGTTGGTGAGCATCATACTCTTTTTCAGAGGCAGGGTTTCTGCTCTTTAGGCCTCAGCGGGCATTTTCTTCATCTGCAGCCATCTCCTTATTTTCTGGCGAAGAAAGAGTTAGCAGGCTTCCAGAAGGGTCTTTTAGACATTGATGCTTGGGTCATCCAGCCAGGGGGCAAATGACATTTGTTGTGTCTGGTGGCAATAGTTCGTTGCTGCTTACATGCCACAGGATCAGGTTTGGTTGATGCTCTATGGGTTGATCTGGCCTCCTTGGGGCCCCCAATTCCAAGGCTCATATTTCTCAGGTTGTCTGTTGTATCACCTAGGCTAGCCAGCCTGCGGTCTACTCCCAAGCCCAAGATGTTCGCAAGTATGCTGCACTTGTACCTGGATGGGGTTCTGGAAATTCTTCTACTCCCAAAGCCCAGCCCAGGGCCAGGCTTGACTTGTGGTCAAGTCGAGCTTAAAAACTTGTTGGACCAAGTTATTTTGGTCCAACAGACTGTACCTTGGAGCGGCCCATAGGCCCACATACCCACCACAACCCAGTTGGTCTGGCACTTCTTTAAGAAAATTATCTAGTTTTCTCTTGAAGGTACATGTCCATGTTTGTTCCAGCAATATTTCTTATACTCGCTGGGAGGATGTTGAACAATCGTGGACCTCTGATGTTTATACAGTGTTCTCTGATTGTGCCTATGGCACCCCCTGCTCTTCACTGGTTCTATTCTGTATTTTCTTCCATATCATTCAATCCAGTATGCTGTTATTTTACTGCGTAGATTTGGGACCTGGCCCTCCAGTATTTTCCATGTGTATATTATTGGATATCTTTCTCTCATCTCCTTTCTAGGGAGTACATTTGGAGAGCTTTTTGACAATTCCATTAATTTAGGTGCTTTATCGTGATACATTTTTGCAGCATTTATATTATAACATATTCTTGATAATCTAGAATAATATATTCTATTATATCTTGTGAGTTTTGGCAGTCTAACAGGGTCTTGGCAGCCAGTTATTTAGTCGATGTCCCTGATCCTCTTCAGTCCTGTGTTGCCCTGGGTCATGTTTCCTGGCTGTTGGTTTCTACTTTGAGTTAGTACCAGCTGCCTCTCCTCCTCTCTGGTATGTCCCTCATTTTTTCTCTGTAGTTATGCACTACAGAGATCCCCCATGGGGCTTCCCTGTACATGTACAGAGTTCAACATCTGCTACACCCGCTACATCATGCAGGACCTACAGTACAGCCTGCTCGGCAGATTCTTTTTCCCGGTCAGGGCAATACAGATCCAACAAGAGCTCCCGCATGCCCTGACTAATCCGACTAACTGCCATCATGCTTTTCTCAGTCTTCGACGCAGCTGTACTATCTTGAGACGATTTCGGGGCTTAGCGTCCCCACGGCCCGGTCCTCGACCAGGCCTCCTTTTTGTTTCACCCCTCCAGGAAGCAGCCAGTAGCAGCTGTCTAACTCCCATTTACCTATTTATTGCTAGGTAACAGGGGCATCAGGGTGAAAGAAACATTTTGTCCATTTGTCTCCGCCTCCACTGGGGATCGAACCTGGAACCTCAGGACTACGAATCTGAAGCGCTGTCCACCCAGCTGTCAGGCCTCGTGTCAGTACTGTACTACACAACACTCTTTTGCTTACATCACCTCTTATAGCCCTGGTGATTGAGCATGTCCACATGCAGCCTGTGTCTCAATTGTCACTAGATCTGCAGCTTTACCAGTGACCCCCAGGACACTACGACCACATTCTTATTGCAGCTACCACTACACTGCACGATCTTGGTGATCGAGCCTGTCAGCATGCTGTGTGCATCTCAATAGGCACTGGATCCTCTTATCTTTTAGTTCTGAAATCACAAGGGTGAGGCTCCCTCCTGAAGATGATTATCTCTCAGCTAGAGGCACCCAAACCCACCAGGGAAATTAACCGTGGCTGGTCAGAGGCAACACCAGCGAGCACCAATATGTCAACTCTAAGACACATGATGCTCAAGGTGAACTGTTAAACAGTCCACATAAGAAGTGAGGCATAAAGCACATGCACATTAAGCAAACACTAAACTAAGAATGAGTACACAAGCAAATGGGCCCTCGCAAGACAGGACAAAGGATGTTCATTACTTATCTGAAAACCTGGTACAGAGCACCACTTGGTTTCCGAACTTTAGTTACCTGAAACTTCCAGTTTCCCGATTGGGGTTGGGGAGTCATGCTACCCGAACAAAGTTCGGGTAGGAAGGGGTCCGCCAAGTGTCACGCCGGCCTGTGGTGGTGGGTGGGAGATGGTCCAGTTTGCCCACTGACTAACTGACTGACTGACTGACTGGCTGACTGGCTGACTGGCTGACTGGCTGACTGGCTGACTGGCTGACTGGCTGGCAGGCAGGATGTTCCTGCAGGCTGGCTGGCAGGATGTTCCTGCAGGCTGGCTGGCAGGATGTTCCTGCATGTTAACCGACGGGTCTCGTCCCCAAGGGGTTCGGAAACCAAGTGGTGCTCTATACAGTACTCAAAGAGCACTAGCAGAATGAGGAGAGCAAGAAGTAAAATGCTGATACCTGAGGGCTTGCACCCACTACCAACAAGAGAACTGCATAACAACTGGCAGGATTATTTTGGAATCTCGCTTTCTGTGTTCTGTTTACCTTCTTGCTATTGTCTGTTTTGTTTTGCTCCGCCTTTCTGGTGGCCTTTTCTTGGGGGTGAGTAATCTAGCAACCTCAAGCTCCCTGTGCCTCTATAAAAGTGGTTCCAAACTCTTTACAATCATTACCCCTTTTTCATATTAACCTTGTGCACTAATCTTAATCATATTAATGGTCCCTACACTCAGTAAAAGGCCCTCTCTGGTATCCTCTGGTATCATAACATGTGCCCCTGCCTTAATTTAACACTTTTCTGAGATCTTCACTTGGATTTACGGGTGGTTTAGATAAGCGCTTGTCGGATCACAACGTAAATTTACGGTCCGTGTTATAGTGGGTATATACTACTTGATCGACTTGGGGTTTGTATGAATATGTTTGCCATTAAATTTTCGTTTTCTCTAATAGGCACAGTGCCTATTTGAGAAAACGGCAATGTATTGTAACTTAGAGGAGAGACTATCGAGTTGGTGACAACGAGGGTAATCGCCCACTCCACACACTCTTGTGTTGGCCGCGATCATGATTCTACATTTATATGCATATGTCTGTGTAGAGAATTTTATTCCGAACACTATACAAACCAAAAAAAAACAAGTATAAACTTGAAAAACATGAGCAAAGTAAAAACTTTTTACGCTCACGGGTACAAACACGCGTAAGATTTTATTCGCCGCAAATTTATTTGACGCTCTGTTGGCCAATTTTACCCATGTTCTTATAGAACTTTCTATTGCGAACACATTGCTATAAAAATGAAATACGTAGCTCCAGAAATAATGTCAGGACAGTGAAATAAGTATAAACATTCAAAGCGCTGCATCACACCAGTGTCGTCGCTGCTGAAATCACGGCTAACGCTTCGCCCAGTTCCCACACTCGTGCGGGTCACCCGATACCATAATTAGACATTGATAGGCATATGTCTGGGTGGGGAATTTTATTGCGAGTTCAGTGATATCAAAATGAGCGCTGTAGGATGACTGTGAGGCTGGCAACAAACGAAAGAGTATGAACATTTACTTCCTGTTTGGGTGTCACGGCGAGTCATCTTCGTGTTTATTTACTTCGTGGTGGGACAGCAAATGCTTTGGTGACATTTTATGCATATGATCTTGTAGAGAATTTTATTGCCAACGCATTGATACCAAAATGAAAAACGTAGCTCGAGAATTGATGTTAGGAGCGTGAAGAGATTATACACTTTTTTGTGTTTACGCTTGAGCGCCCAGAACGCCGCGCGCACAAGGCGCTTTTTTTTTTCACGAGTGCCGCGCGCTCTAAAGTGTTAAGTCCCCCTACATAATGCAAAATGGCCCCCAATTTGGGAACCAGTGCTCTAGAGTATGCCAGGTTTTGACCTCTGGCTTAAAATGACTCGCAAGGGTCTGGTGTGATTCAAAGTGGATGGAGCTATCGAGTTTGCTAGCAACAAGGAAGCCCCTCCAGATTTTTTTTTTTGTATGCCTACATTGTTGAAAGCCATGCACTAAGCATAGGAATATGTCCAAAATATTATGTCACTTACTGTGTGTGTGTGTGTGTAGTGAATGATGAGTTCTCAGTAAGGTTATTACAACTTTTTTAAACACAAGGCAGGCTGCCAAGCACTATCAGAATTATCAGTCACTTACTGGCCCATTTGCAACCAGTTCAACATTACTTTCATTATGTATAGGTGATATATGCTTAAAAACTGCACTACCAGATTAGGGGCTACAGCCTCATTCTTCAACCAGTTGTCTGTGGGCATGGCAGGCTACCCAGATGTTTACTGCAGGTCTCAGGCACTGATTGGCAACTCCATGAACCCATAGGAGTTTCAAATGCTGCAGTGTAACAAAAATCATCTCAGGATGGTACGTGTAACATGGGTCAAATATCTGAGAATGGTATGCATACCATGGGTTGAACATCTAAGGATGGCATGTGTATCATGGGTTGAATATTTGAAGTTGAAATGTTCACCATGGATCAAACATCTGAGAATGATATGCACACCATGGATAAATCATTTAGGATGATAGGGATACTATGGGCCAAACATCTGAGAATGGTATGTGGAAGGCAAGGGTTCAGTAATTTTTCTTTCAGTAACTAAATATATCTAATCAACTTCCTGCAAAAATATTTGTTCTTACCAAAGCAAAATGTATTAACCACTCACCTGTTTTATGTGACTCTTGAGCAGCTCAAGGCTTTGCTGCACAATACTTAGATCTTTGAAGTCTAACTTGGCTCCTTTCTTCTTCCCTTCCTGAAGATTACCATACTTCATTACTGGTCATATTAATGAGTACAAACTTTATACAATAGGCACACAGTGAGGCAGAGTTATGCTTCTAGGTAGTACAGGTTTGCCAATTCCTGAGAAGGAAGGTATTCATATTTAATTATATTTATATAACAATAGCCTCACTGGCTTTAAAACCAAGCAGGTTTACAAAAGTCCAATTAAATGAGAAACAAACCTTCGGTCTCACTGGGTGTGTGGTAGTAACTAGAGACTCAAGAATGAACTGGTTCATGAGTACAATGCTCCTATGGCCTTTGCACTAAATATGGCCAACTTTGCCCTTTGTGGGGAAAAAATTAAACATCCTGTACTGTAATCACATAAAAATAACTTTAAATAAGAACACACTTACCATTATTATGTATTGTAATTACAGGTAAAATATCAACTAACAGTAATATCTGTAAAGACTGTTAAGTTATTTACTATAAAACATTTCACTTCCAACTTTTGCATTTAATACCTCACTACAAATTTTCTTGTTAATGATGCCTTAAATCTACATACCCAAACAGAATTAGCCTTGAAATTTTCAACATTTATCTTTACTGAAAATTTTTCAGGTGGTGGAGGCGCAGAAAATCCTCCGGGTTCAGACACAAAGCAAGACGAACTGGAGGCCGAACCAAGGAACCAGAAGGACCACCTTGCCCTTGTAAAATTCCAATTTAGCAAGGACCAAGAGAAATAGCTGAACCTGGGGAAAAAACATAAAGGAACTACCACTTTGAACAGTCCAGCCAAAAGGCATCCACAAGAAGAGCCTTGCAATTGGGGAATGAAGCCATATGGGAGGGAAGACCCCAATTCCATGCCAATACAAATGAGATCCACATTGGGACATCTGAACTTTTCGCAAAGCTTACGGAAGGACACATCATTGGTAGTCCATGTCTGTGGAAAAGGGATAGAAACAAAAGAGCCTGTCCACGAGAACACTGGAAACGCCCTGAGAAACAACAGCACGGAGAACCAAACCCAGAAAATCCAAAATATGAACTATGTGCAGCTTCAGCTACACAGGGAGAAGGATCGAAGTGACCCCCTCCTCGGTTTAGGCAATAAACCACTAGTATGCAGTCCAAATGAAGCTGGAGCATACAGCTCAGAAGAATCATAATCCTCCTCAGGGTACATCACATGGGTGAAAACTCTCCCATGCTAGACTCACACACGCAAAAACTGTGTGCTTAACGGAATGTACCTAATCAACAACTGTTCAACACTGATCCAACACTAAACAGCGGCGAAGCCAAAAAAAGGAGCATGGCTACTGGAGAAGGTAAAGTGAAACCTACTGAGAATCCCAAACATGGCCCAGTCAAGTCCAAACCTAGGATGGAACCAAATTGAATTTCCACTAGTTTACCAAGAACCCAAACTCAGTCAGCTGGGGAAGAGCCAGATCCTAGCCAGTTGATATATGGACTGACTGGGAGCCCAAACCAACCAGACATCCAGGAAGGCCAACTACTACACCTAACTACTGTAGCTGGGCCATGACGTGCTGGGACATGATGACCCGTGATAACCTTGTTAACACACTGCCTTGCCCACCCCAAGGTCAGCCGAGCATTTCCCCGTGAGCGCGCACCCGCACTAAAATATGTATACCCTTTAAAGTTTTATCATCTCAATTTTCGTGTTACGGTGTTGATTTTAGTATCAACACTTTGGCGTACCCCGCGCGCCACCCCTCAACTGTGCGATATGGGACCCAGGGTGTCACGGGAGCGCGCGTAAATTCTGAAAAGTGTATACTCTCTTCTACTTTGTCACCTTAATTCTCGTCCTACGAGATTAAATTTTGTATCATTGTGTTCGCAATAGAATTCTCTGCAGCACTAAATGCATATAAACTCCAAAAGCCCGGCTAATTTCCCGCAGCAAACAGAGAAAGTGCAAACGAGTTACCCAGGAGCGCGCAAACGCGATAAAATGTTTTCACTATTTTCACTCTGGTCACCTCAATTTTCGTCCTAGGTCTTTCATTTTGGTCTCAATGGGTTCGCAAAAGAATTCTCTAGAGGAACATTAGCATATAAAATAAAAAACCTGGTCACGCTCCAACCGCCGACGAGTTGAAGACGGGCCACGCTTTAGCCGCTAGTGAGCGCTCAGACGCCTTCCAGCTACACTCCCAATTCCCGCCCTTTTCAAGCCTTTCTTTCGCAATTTTCTTCCTGGAAGGGCCTTGTTCATGATCACTATCCATCGTGGAGTAAGCGTAAATAGTTTCTAAAGCCGCAGTAAGAAATATAGCCACGGAAAATAGCCGAAATGTTCACACGTTTGAGATGCGAGAGGAGGCGACATTGGTCACAACAGTGGAGCGAAAACAATGGGCCCACGGCATGTGCCAAGCCGCCTGAGGGCCACGAGGCTCAACAAAGAAAATGGGAAGACATCGGCGTGCATTTTAAAACCAGTCCCAAAAAAATCGAATAAAAACCTGATTTTTGGCGATTATTTAAAGTGGATGACGCAATGCTGCGTCATCCCCGGCATTACCGACAGTAAACGGATGACGCAATGCTGCGTCATGCCCGGGCGAAATCCTCCGGGCGGGTGTTAGATTGTTCGCAATAGAATTGTCTAAAGGGATGTGCATATAAGGGCAAAAGGCCTAGCATGCCACCCATGGCAAACCCAAAAATCTGCCAAGTGTTACCAGTGAGCAAGCACCCATCCACACACCCACAACACCCACACAAAAATGTGAATACTCTTTTCAGTTTTATCGCCTCAATTTTCATGTTATGTCGTTCATTTTGGTATCAATTTGTTCGCAATAGATTGCTTTAAAGGGATATATGCACACAAGGGTCAAATGGAATAACAAACTTACCAATACCACATGAATAAAGAACACTTATGTCAAAAGCCAGACCCGACTAGCACAGCGTAGGCCAAACTCCGCACAACTGCTCGAACAGCCACTGAGTGACCCAAGAATCTCCCCCCCCCCCCCCAAAAAAAAACCAGCTAAAGGCGGGCCCTGCAGCTGCTGCAATGACTCCCGAGGTAGAGACAACAAAGCCGAAGGCTCTAAAAGAAAGCGGACCTGAAACAGAGTGATCATCCAAAAGGAGGGGCAAGGAATCTGGGGATTCAGACTGGACAAGTCCAGAATGAATCGCAGATCTACACAGTCCCATTTCGCACTGGAAACAGGCGGGAAACCTACCTGAGGGACCGGGTCATTTCAACCACGCACCCACCCACTCCGTGCACAAGTGCACCCACTCCGAGATGATCTGACGGAGCGCAGGGGAAGAAGCCTGCCCCGCAAGCCCCTCCCCCCCCCCCTCCCCGAAGAAGGAAGAGCCGCCCAACGCCACCACAGGATGGTGGAGACGACCCGAAATGCCCACAAATCCTGGGACCAAGCGTGAGCAGAGCGAACTGCGAAAAGGCCAATGTTCCTTACAAGAAGCCAACCGACGAATAGAGCGATCACTGCGCCTACCAGACGATAATGGCTCTGAAGGAAACGTCAGCTCAGAAACCGTGATCAATGGGCCCATCTCAACCAGCAGAACCCCGAGCCGTGGCATGACCCATCCGAGAAGGCTGAGAAGGGCCACCACAGAGAACCAACAAGTCCGACATGGGATGACAAATAGACGAAGCTGCCTGCAGAAACCGAGTGACTGCAGTCTCCGCACGGACAAAACAGTGATGAAAACCTAAGAGCCAGGGGCCCAAGCGGATTCCAATGAAAGCAAGCACAGCCTGACTACACACAAGGTAAGAAGCAAAGAACAGAGACACCGCCTCCTTGAGAATAGCCGCAAACAACATGACCCAAGCCGCCGATGTCATCGCACCAGACAAAGGCCCAGCACTCAACGCTTTCACATCCTTCTCAAGACAGGTAGAAAACAGCTCGAGAAAGAAATGCAAAACCAAGGCCAAATGCCCACGGGCGCGCAAATCCTCAGCAACCAAGGACGCCGAAAGGGTAAGAACCTGCACGTGCAGCTGCATAAGGTCAATGGAAGCAAAAGGCAAATAAGCACGGATTAAGATGCTCAAACTCGCCCCCAGGTAAACCTGCAGAATGGTAGACGTTTTTCATCAATCAAGCGTGCGGCCAGCCAGGAAGACACTGGAACCTCCAAATGCTCCCAATACAGGGAAGAAGAACCAAATTCAAATGAGGACGGATCCATCACGGAGCCAGAATCTGGGTCTCCCAGGAGTAAAGCAGCAAGCGCGTCCCAAACCACCTTAGGTGAGATACGAGAGGCAGAAAACCTCCAGAAAGAGGGAGCCGAGGAACCCAAGGAAACCCTGAACCAAGCCCCGGGTAGGAGCCGATCCCAAATCATACTCATACAGGGAGGGAAGGTAAGAAAAGCCCTCCCCGTGCAACAACAAGCCCCACAAAGAGGGCACCAACACACAAACGAGGTCAAAGGGGGCCCAAGCCCCCAGGTCAACTCCTCCCCAGCCCAAGGATCCCACAAGTCGGGACCTGGGGCAGAGCCGTCCTCCATACCCACTACCCCTGAAGAAAATACAGAGTCCAGGGAAAAGACAAAAGAAAGGAGCCTCCTGGTAGGACCCAGAAGCCTTGGCAGGAGGAACCGGCTTGAATGCCTCCGTCCCCAACCTGTACAGGGCAGCACACTAAGCTGCTCAAGTCTGATTACGAAATAAACCCTGCTCCAACTCTGAAACCCTCAGACGTTTGGGAGCCGGAAGTCGGGTAGGGAGGGGAAGCAAGGGTAAACAGGGAAGGGACCGGGGAGTGCGGACTGAACCAAAATCGAAGCGACTAACGCCCCCAGGTCCGGGTCCCTATAACTAAAACGGGGCAGCCTCGGGAAATCTAGGTGGGCGACCAACCTAGCTCATTGCAGCAACCTAAACCTGACATGCAACAAAGATGCTGCCTGTACCCGAATACCAATATCATCAGAATGGGTATATTGGAGAACAAGCAAAGAGCGCGACTCGCAAGACTCTGGGTCAAAGGTGTCCGTGACCCAACAGGCAGCATGATGGAGGCAAAAGCGGTGACTGTCACCCTGAGACAAGGGCACACAGCAACCTTCAAATTCACACATGGTGAGGTGGAACTCAGAAGACGCATCCATGAGTCTAATGAGCTCCAATGGGGTTTTCCAGGGGCCTGCAGGCTGACTGCTACAGGAAGCCCAGGCAAGGCACAGCAAAATCTGCTGGTCTCAAACTAACAAGAGAATCTGCTAAAAGCTGAACCCCTGTGATGTGTACAATCACAGGGGTATAGAAGAGGGGCCATCCAAACAACAGAAGTGGACCTGCAGCCAAAAGAGGCAGACCCCACTTCAGGCAAGGAAACAAAAATAAAAGATAAACCATGGAAAAGTACAACATCCTCAGAGGAACAGAACCAGCCGCCACATTGGTAGGCGAGCTGTGCTGTACCTTGCGCCTCTACCAGCAAACGATACTGCTTCCTACCCAAGGCCAAACAAGGGCCATGAAAACTCCAGCTGGCCCCAAGATCGAGGTAAGAGCCGAGCAGCAAAGACCCCTACGGAAGTGGTTTCCGAGAGTTCTATGGAAGGGAACCCTAGAACCCAAGGGTAGTACTGTACTTACAGGGCACCCAGGGAAGAGAACCCTGAGCACATGCAGCCCCAGTACTATTCAAAGTACACCTGACCAATGTGCCTCACACAGCAGAAATACACCACAAGGCCCACAACTGCACAGAACTTTGAAGCAAGAGTCAACGTCCGAACCAGACCGCATCAGCCTTCAAACTGAATGGCTTGGGTAGCCGGCGCGGGGGTTCGGGGCTACCCCTTCCTTCTCCTGGGGGAGGGGGGTAGCTGAGTGGACATGGGGCACAGCAGTGAAGTGTGATGTTTGCGTGTTAGCTTGTTTTCTTAAGTTGCGGGGGGAGTTCTGCCTCCCCATTTGGTTTTTGATCGCTTTTTCTTACCAAGTTGGGTTTGTTTTGTTATGGCTACCTTTCTGGGTGTCAACCTCGGTCAATGGCAGACATGGAATGTCCCCAACCACGTGGGGGTTTCTATAGGCCATTGCTTCCTTTGCCTCTCTGAGAGGGGGCTAGGTTCTGGCTCGTGATCCTCAGTAGGCTGAACTCCATTAACTGATGCCCCTGTCTAATATATCACATATCAGCCCGATAGCTCCAGGGAGCCGTAGGGGCTCCCCGCTGAAAAGCACAAAAACAAAGAAATTCTTCACAAAGATTTCAAGTGCAGTCATCACTGGGGCAGGACATTTAACTGAGGTGAGCCTCGCCATGTGCCATGCACTCGGTAGACCCGTACATTTATAGACAAACTACAAGCACCAAGGCCAACCTCGAATACCAAGCCATTTTGGAAGAATTAAGCTGGAGAACTGAAAAATTTGAAAAGAGGGGCATTCGAAAACCAAGGTTCCACTGTACTGTAGTTTGACAAGCTGCCACAGTGGACAGAAACTGAATAACAACACCCTCAGGGAAGAGATGCAGAGAAAACGAGCAGGTAGACAAAACAGACTAAGGCCGTGGCCAAATCTAACAACTGGGCCAGCATCACCTGCTGACATGCGAGACATGCCGAATAAAATGCCACCACTGCTTCCCAAGCTATGGGAGCAAAGATCTTGGGCATGGTCACCGAAGCTGATACTGCAGGCAACAAGGCCTCTGTGCCTAAGACCCCAAGCCCCAATATGATTGCAATTCTATGTTATTTGAGTCAAAACTAGCATAAAAATTTGATCAAACCTATCCTAACCTACCTAACCTAACCTATCTAAACCTAATATAATTAAACTAGTAATTCATGTTCTTAATATAATAGATTATTATTGTTAGAAAAGAACCAACCTGGGAAGAAAAATTTGAAAAAATCTATTAACAAAAAACTTCCTGCCAAATACATCGGACCTTGCATACCTAGGCCAAGCAGTGTAATTCTGGCTATTAGGCATGACATAAATCAAAATAACACCGAAGGCCTAACGTGCATGTTGGGCACTGAGGGTCGTGGCGACTGTTAGTGGGTGTCCAGGATTCTGCCTGTTCAGATATGGCAACTTTACTGAAGGTTTAACAATTGTCAGTTGGAGTTTAGCAAAGACAAGATCAATACTTCTAGATCCAGGTTGCACGTGGTCATGTAAGGTGTCTATGGCTGTTGAACAGGTCATGTGGATAGCAGAGGTAGCACATTGGACTTGGTTCACAGATGTGGCTGTTCACTGGATCACATGTGGTTCGGCTTTTCACGGGTTCGAGCAACAGAGTACCGGCTACAGTCTTCGCTCTTCCTTCTTAATATCTGTTTAAGACACTTCACCTTCAGATTAATTATGATGACACTGGATTTCACAACATTCACTTCACATCATTCTGTCTTCTTTAAATATACCTATGTCTTAGATAATGCATGATCAAAGGGTTTCACTTCTCAGTCCTGTTGCATCTGGATGCTACCCTTGCAGTATCTGATACAGTCACTCCATTTAATTCTTGGAATTAATTACACTACTGGATTCCAGCCACTTGCAAGAGCTTTTTGACGAATTTAAGCATTTGTAGTAGCTTTGCCCAAGGACTTAGACGATGTGTTTCTAGTTATTGGCCAGCAACAGAAACCACACATTGCTTACAGCTGGTGTCCTTGGCTGGAATGGTTGAGTAGGGTAGAAAGGATGCCCTAGTCATCTCCAGACCTCGTTGTTAAGGTTAGCCAATCAGCAATTTGGGGCTTCTAAGCATACTAGTGCATCATAGCTCATCCGTTGTCACGTGGGCTTACAAAATCATAGCTACATCACCGATCCCAAGTTGACCATGGCAAGTGACCTGACTTCTAAACTCCCCTGTACTGCCTGGCACAGATTTGTTTAAGCAAGTAGCTCCAAAGACGGCCACTGCCTGGTGCTTACTTCTAGACTGGATGCTGCACCACTCCAATCTCTCTACCGACTAAACCCACGACAGCCCTTGTGGCACTATGCTGCTTATATGGGCTCACATTAGACCAAACAAACTAGATTTTAGTCCAATGTTAAGGGAGACAGACTTTGTGCACATGCCCTGTGCACTATGGGCACTTGTAGGTAATTACCGAACTTTTCAATGCACATGCAAAAGCTCAGATATATATATGCCACTTGAAGTCAGTAGTGGGAAACTGAGGGATACACTCTCACTGGAGATAACTCAGATAATAGAGGGCCTTACACAGAAATTGCATTAAGTAAATTGGAACACTCCGATGTGAGCAGCACCTCGGTTCCTCCCTGTTCCTGCCTAGTCTGGGTTCATTTAGGTGAACTGGACCTAAAGTGAGGGTCTCACCTCCTCTAACCCAGTTGTACCAACTAGTGCTGTCACCTGCACAAAGTTGCTATAGAGGATAGTTGCTAGTTATGTATTTTCAAAACAATAACTGGCTGCTCTTGTGGCCAAATGATCATTTAGAGGAATCATGAGTGATTTGATACGCTTTTAGTGTCACGGTGGATTCAGATACTATATGTTATTTCCTTTGCTCCCAGCTCCTATACGATAATCATACTTTATATTTATCTTTGTATTGGCCTGGTAGGTAGGTGTGCACTATCAAGAGCTAAAAGAGATACATCCCCCATCACGGCTTTAAAGGTAATAAGAGATGCTCTCTCCTAAGACTGCTCATGATGCACTGATACCTATGAATACCAACTGGTGCCATATGATTTCAATATGGCACCATACTGGAATGAAAAATGCATAATGTGATGTCTTCCAGCAACATAACTTGTAATAAAAGACCATTTCACAAGGTAAAGAAGCATGATTAGCTACATCAATACATACCTTATTTGCCTCAATTACTTCATTAAGCCACATCTCTAGTGAGAGATCAGACTCGTTGTGAGGAGGGTGTGCCATAATAGGAATTAGTGGGTCATCAGGCCCCTGATCAGCTAGGCGACCAGCCGACACATCTGCCTCCAGCATCATGATGGATGGATCTGAATGAGAGAAATCTTACTGCTTCCAATGATAACAGAGCTTTAAACCTTCCCACTTTACAACACAAAAAAAAACAGCATTGAATGTAATGAAATGCCATTTTCTGGGTGAGCCCCAGAGGCTTCCTGGAGCTATAGCACTGATGTTAGCTATATTAGTCTGGGGCTTCAGCCATATGGCATTGTCATGCCTACTGGGAACCACAAGCCAAAACCTGGTTCCCTCAGAGAGGCAAAGGGAGAAAAACTCCACTCTGAGAGTATATTCCTGTCTGCCATCAACTGGGGGTTGGGCACCCAGAAAGGTAGGCGCCCCAAAAAACCAGCGTTGAATGTAATGAAACGCCATTTTCTGGGCGAGCCCTGGAGGCTCGCTGGAACTTATCGGGTTAATGTATGTTATATTAGACCGGGACATTAGCTAAGGAGTTCAGACCTACCAGGGGCCAGCGCCAGAACCTGGCCCCTTCAGAGAGGTTTCAGGGAGCAATGGCACTGGAAAACCCCCTTGTGGTTGGGGTTTTCCTTATCTGCCATCGACCAGGGTTAGGCACCCAGAAAGGTAGGCATAACAAAACCAACCCCACAAGGTAAAATATAAAACAAAAAAAAATGAACAGAGGTAGAAACTCTCTACAATCCCAAGGAAACAAGCAAACATCACACTTTACTGCCACGCCGATCGTCCGCGCAGCCCTCCCCGCCACGAGAGGGGGAGGGGGGAGCCCCAGACCTACCGCACCGGCTGCCTAGCATCAGTTCAGAAGCTAAGCTTCAACCAACGCGAAAAAAACGCCGACCGGTGGGAGGGAGGGTTGCCAGGGAGCCTCCAGGGCTCACCCAGAAAATGGCATTTCATTACATTCAATGCTGGTTTTCTGTGGGGAGCTCCTACGGCTCCCTGGAACTTCATACCCAAAGAGAAGGAAAAGAAAGGGCCGACCCGGGAGGCGGCCGCCACAAACTCCGCAACGCGAAGCCGAGACAACAGGCTATAACCTGCGACCAAAGGCATCAAGAACGCACAGGAGCAGACGCGCATAAAGAATGGGCGGCCAAGAACCTGTGCGACCCTCAAATCCCTGCACCCGAAATGAGCCCTAGACGTCACCAGCACAGTAGCAAAAGCTGCAAACGTCTGAACAGCACAGGCGCAAGGACAGACCGCAGGCTGGAAGACATAAAAACTCTGTGGACGACCTGGGAGACCCGAGCCATGAAACAGGGAACGAGGGGAACCGGATCAACCCAAAGCGCATCCCCAGACACGGTACGCAGGTAACAGTAAAAAGCACAACCGGACAACACAGGACGCACCCCTGGCCGAACCAATCAATCATCAATAACCCAAGAACCCCTCCGGAAAGCAGCCGTCTCGACTGTTGCCAAAAGGACGGAGAAAGGCTGCAAACGTATAAACCTACCACTAGTACCAAAGAGCAGAAAACTTGAACCGAAGGGGCTACCACAAACTGAGAAGATAAGAAGGTACCATGATCAAGGACCAGGACGGCTCAGGCGACGCATGAGCAGACCGGAGGTGAAACAAAACAAGAGAAAGCGTACGAAATGGGACAGATGTGATGTCCACCCCGAACACAAGCCAGAGCGGCTCCACCAGCGCCACACAAAACGAGGCGACAGTAAGAAACATCAAATAACTGTAATCCTGAAAACCCAAGAAAGGACAAGACAACCTGATGCGAAAGAAGACAACCTACAAAGAGCAAGAAAAGTGCATAGAAACACCAGGAACGTCATACTGTCGCCGAGACGAAGCTCGCAGGTGGGACACCGTCAACAAAGCCACCTGATCACCACAGAGATGGTGATACCCACGTCAAAATACCAGACGCGAAGAGCCGAGGAGAAGGCCAAACCAGTCACGTACAGGACCAGTCTGACCTGCCAAAGCCGCGGAAAAACTCCTATCAAGCAGTGTCTGAAAATAAAGCTGAGCCGGCCACCAAGGGACCATAAGGACTACTCTCGTGGGAATGGGCTCCAACCGAGCCAGAACCTGAAGCAACAGCTGGACCGGGAGAAGAAGAACAGGTACCCCCACCTCGGCCAGTCCTGCCGAAAGGCATTCACCGTGAATGCCTCGCAGGTGAGTAAGGGCGCCACATAGAATGGGCGACGCCTAGACCATGCTGACACAAAGACGTCCATGGCCAGGAGTCCATAAATCCGGCAGAGCTAACGAAACGGGTCGGCAACGACTGGCCAATCCGCAAACAGAGGAATGAACCAAGACAGCTGTCCGCCAGGACGCAGGACACACCCCCGTACATGAAACTCACGGTTAGCCAAACCCCGAGAATCCAGCAAACGAGCCACTCTTAACACTTTCGCGCTCTCCGCGAAAGAAACACGGGAAACACGTTGTTTCACGCTCTCCGCGGGAAACAACCGTAAGTGCTCACGGGGTTTTGCCGCGTAACCGTAAAAACAAGAATGTGTATACTCTTTTTACTCTCATGACCTTAGTTCTTGAGCTACGTATTTCATTTTGGTACCAACGTGTTCGCAATAAAATTATCTAGAAGAACATTAGTAAAAAAAGTCACGAAACATATAGGGATACCAGCACCAAATAAATAACTACGAAGATGACTCACCGTGAGCGCCCACCAGCAACAAAATGTTTTTACTCTTGGGATTGTTATCACCTCCACACTTGTCCTATAGCATTAATTTTGGTATCAATGGACTCGCAATGAAATTCCCAACACGGTGATATGAATATAAGCGTAGAATAATGATTGCGGCCCGCCCACAAGAGTGTGGGAAGTGGTGAAATTGTTACCCGGTGTCGGTGACGGGACGACGCACGGCGCTTTGAAAGTTTATACTTATTTCATTCTCATGACATTATTATTCTATGTACGTCATTCATTTTTGTGTCAATGTGTTCGCAATAGAATGTTCTATGAGCCCGTAGGTAAAAAAGATCAACAAAGCGTAAGATAGAATAGCGCCAAATATAAAACAACACTGGAACATATCAGTGAGAATCAAACACACACGAAATGTTTTTACTTTTGTTATGTTTGTGAACCTTTCATGAACTTATTGTACCATGCAGCCTATTGGTGAGAAAGAGAGCCTCATGGCGCGCAGTTTGAAACAAACCCAAAGTAAATCGGATAAAAATTGAATTTTATACAAATATTTTAAAAGAGGACATAACTTTACGTCCACTATGCGGTAGCGTTAGGTGAAACAGGACGCAGCGGTGAGTCCGGTTAGCGCGAAAGTGTTAAGGGACCAACCCCAAAGGTCAAACACCTCAGAGAAACCCTGTGGTTCTGGCAAAGAGCCACCAGAGAACAGTCCGAATGGAGCTGAATGGTAGAGCACCTAGTGACCCAAACCCTCCGAAGCGCAAACCAGACAGCCATGAACTCCTGAACCGTGCTGTGAGCCAGACGGAAGGACAGACCCCACCATCCCCGGCCAACCTGGTGAGCACTGGACACAAAGCCCCAGCCGAGGGATGACCAGTCCGTAAACACATCGAGCGAAGGCTCGGGGAGGTGCCAAGGCACGGAACCCTGAAAACCCCAAAGAGGAAGCTGGTGACACAGCACCAACACAAGATCCCAGAGGAAAGAACCCAACGATGCAAGAAAGGCAGAGGAGGAGTCTCCGAAGGAACCAAACAGACGCGAAGTCAAACCCGACCCAGCGGGCAGACTAGCACGTCGAGGTTCAGACTCCCACACAACCGCTCGAGCAACCGCCGAGCAACCCAGGACCCCCTCATGAACAGCCGAAGGCAGGACCACAGCCCCAGCAACACTTCTGGAGGGAAAGACAAGGAGCAGCCCAAGAACCCTAAACAAGACCCCAGCCAGGTCCGAACCCGGGTCGGAAGCAGATGGAACGGCCTCCAGATCACCTGGAAAACAAACCCGGCGATCTGGAAAGAACCACACCCCTGGCAAGCAGACAAGCGGACCAACTGGGAGCCCACACCAGCCAGTCGTCGAGGTAGGCCAGACTCCGAGTCCCAAGCAGACTCAGACAGGGCACCAAGATCCGCTAAAGATGCGTAAATACACCCAGTGCCAATTACAAAATAGGGAAGGCAACAAAAATGGTGGTGGTGGGGCCTGTAGCTCCACCACCAACTGTGCCAGTCCCGGAAAACTGGAGAGGAACGTGCCAAGAATTGACCTGGAGGTCCAGGGCCACCATCCAGGCACCCGGCTCCAACAGAAGCAGGACAGGAGACAACAGTCCTCCGATGAGGGCATAGAATCCAGGCCACAGACTGAAGAAGTCCAGAAGAACCGCAAATTCGACAGGCCCATGTCTGCATAGAGCAGACGGGAACCCCAGAAGGATGGGGCAGATCGACCACGTCCAACGCACCCACTAAGATGACATGACGAAGCGCAGGGGAAGAAGCCCACCCCACCAGACCTGAACCCCCAAAGGGGAAGAAGCCGTCCGCCGCCGCCACCAGAGGCCGGAAGACAACCAAAAGTGCCCACTAACTGCGGGACCATGCGAGAGCCAACAGAGCAAGCTGCTCCCCCAGCGCCCTGTCAACAGAGAAGGGAACAGAGCCTCTTCCGAAAGAAAAAGTATACATACACATATACACATATATACATATATATTATGTATATACACATACACACAAAGTATGTTACACACACGTGCATATGCACATACACATGTGCACACACAGTGTACACATGTACATGTGTACACAAACACACATACACGTGAAAAGAAAATTACAAGCCGCCGACCAGTGGGCAGAGATCACCACGCCGGCCAGGTGAAGAAGACACAAAACTGCATCAAGAGGCCCACCTCGACAACAAAACCCCAAAGTCCCAGCACGACCACAACATGTGCCAAGACCGAAAAAGATCAGTCTGCAAGCCAGGAAGGCCCCGGAATTCCAGAATGCAGAACCAGGTCACACACAAGGAAACAAAGCCCCCTGAACCCACAAAGGGGGCCCCCAAGAGAAAGAAACC